CTCAATCCCATCGTCTTGCCCCCTCTCTCCCCTTTTTCAAGTCCTGCCTGAAAATCTTTCCCTTCGACCATCCACCTTATCTACTGCTAGGATTCAGCTTCAACCTTTTATTATGCCATCTTCATAAAACAAAGGGACCAAAAGGGTTCATCTAGATTCCTTACATGCAAAGCTATATAAATGTCAATAAGTTTCCTCCTGATTGACATGTTAAAAACAAGATCACAAGTACTCCACTGAATTCGGAAATTATAAGGAAACTTTGTCAAGATTCTTGAAATAATTTTTTTGTTGGAAACATATCCAAACGTACATTATGTTTGAGGTTGGTGAAAATATTGTATTGTTTCTTATTTTTCACTGACAAAATCTATTTTACTTTTGACTTTTTATTTATACTTTTACAAAAAAGATTCCCCCAATTTTTACTCTTTCAATCTTTTCAACAGCATTTCTAGCACACAGTTCATATGTGCACTGCTTGTGGTAACCCAGAAGTCAGCCATTTTCGTGTATCACAATAAGCAGCATTGGCAACTCAGTGTAACTTGATCAAAACTAGATAAATGTTTACTCTACTTTTACGCCCATGAGATAATTAGCCTAAATGTATATAGGAAACAATGAAGCATAGTATCAACTTGTTCTGTCCATTGATATTTCACCAGCTCCTTACAGATGCTGAAATGCCAACAAATCCAGCAAGCCCAATATTAATGTCAAAGTGGCTGGGATATTTTCTCAGAGCATCTTCTCCCACAACCTGAGGATGAATGAGGACTTTAGTGAAGGCCCAATGAATATAAAATGCTCAACAGATGACAGCAAAAGTAACGTTAAATTCCAGGCAGCACTAGTAGAATGTTTTTAGATCTGTAGTCCAACAGCACTTCCAATAATATTTCCCCACTGGAACAAACACTGTTTTGTTTATGTGTGTGCAATTGTGTTGCCGCGTTTACCTACATATACACTGTCACTCCACTTCACAGCAAATGTTGTCAAGCACTTTGAGACATCCTTCCAACCTGATAAGGCGCTCTACCAAATGTAAGGATTATTATTAATGTAATAAGTTTAAAATAAAATGTGACTGATTATTGTATTCAATGCAAGAAAATTTCTTAAAGTTACTTGACAATAATTAGTGATGGGATAAAGGTAGGACTTATTTGAACACCAATTTTCACATCAAGGTACAACTGACTTTTCTAGCAATGGTGGCAACTCATCCAACAAACTTAGCAAATGTTTCCAAGTTGGACTGCCCGGCATCTATACTAATTTCCCTATTAACTCCATCTCACAAACCAGGCATCGACAATCCCTGGTAGATTTTTAATACAGACTCCAGGTAAAATGCAGCATCTTGTCATCTGCAGTAAGACAGTTGAATTCTTTGCCCTTTGGACTTTTTTCTCCTCCTCCCATTCTCCCCAGCTTTGGTTCTTGAATATGTTAATTCTGAACTAAGGTTTATGATCTCATGAAGAAAAATAATTATGTAAATTTCTGAATTGACATTTACACAAACTTTAACTCCAGGAATTACTAAACTTCTTTAGGAATTTCATGTATAATCAGCAGTAAAGCAGTAATCCCTGAAGCAGCTGCCTGTAACAAACTGAATTATTAGATGATAACAATTTTCAGAATCACAGAATTGTATTTTTTTTACAATTGAACTGATAACTTAAGTAATTCACCATATAAAAAATGGTTTCTTAAGGCAAAAATAAACATTTTGGTTCCTTATTTTGAAATTGTTGAATGTTGATTTGCTTCCTTAAGCTGAGAGCCAGGTTGATGCACTTTGCAATTTTTGCAACAAAAGTTGCATCTGTATAGTGCCTCATCAAATCAAAACATCTCAAAACACGTTACAGTAATTTAGGTCAAGGGTCTTTTTTGGAGGCAAACATTTTTTGCATGCAGCAAAATCCACAAAGAGCCATGAGGTGAATAATGGTATCCTGTTTGGGTTATAGAATCATAGAATATTACAGCACAGAAGGAGGCCATTCAGCCCATCGTGCCTGTGCCAACTCTATGGAGGATCTACCCAATCAGTCCCACTCTCCTTCCCCATTTCCTTGGTTTTTTTTTAAAGTACCTATCCAATTCCCTTTTGAAAGTTATTATTGAATCTGTTTCCACCACCTTTTTAGGCAGTGCTTTCCAGACCGCAACAACTGTGTAAAAAAATATTCTCTTCATCTCCCCTCTGGTTCTTTTGCCAGTTACCTTGAATATATGTCCTCTGGTTACCGACCCACCTGTCAGTGGAAATAGTTGCTCCCTATCTAATTTTGAACACCTCTATTAAATATCACCCCAGGTCTCTGCTTCTGAACCCCCTTTCAAACTTAACATTTATTGTATATTGCCTCTCCTCGTTCTTCCTCCCCAAATTTATCACCTCATACTTCTCTGCATTAAACTTCATCTGCCTTATGTCTGCCCATTTCACCAGTCTGTTGATTATGTCCTCCCGCAGTCTGCTACTAACCTCCTTATAGTTTACTACGTTTCCAAGTTTTGTGTCATCCGCAAACTTTAAAATGTTGCTCTCTATTCCCAAGTCCAAGCCATTTATGTACATAAAAAAGAACAGTGGACCTAATACCAACCCCAGGGGGACACTATAATCTAAGATACTCTTACGCATTTTTCATTAGTTACACAAATATAATTTGTTTTACATTTAAAAAGCATTTAAATTATTATTTTATAACCATTTGTATTCTGCATTCGTTCACCAAATACATAATAAAATCCACATACAAATGAATAACAGTGCAACATTCTCCAATATCCAATAAATAGCAATAATCATTAATTACAACTTATATAGCACCTTTCACATCCAGAGAACGTCTCAAAGAGCTTTGCACATCTGGCATGGAGCTTGAGCTGGGGTGGGTGGAAGGGGCGGAGGGGGTGAGGGTTAGAGTGAGGAGGGGAAGCTGGATGGTCAGGAGGCAATGGGTTCAAGAGAGCAAGTACGTACATGCAGGAGATCAGAAAGGAGGATGAGGGAGAGACAGGGTAGGGTCAAAGGTGTGGAAAGTGGGGTGAGGGGAGACAGGGTTTGGGGAGGTGGAGGCAGCTGACCAAATCTACTCTATTTTAGATCTGAGAAAAACCACCAACATTGCATTTGGAGTTGAAAGTGAGAATGGAAGGAGCGTGGGAGGGTGGGCGAAGAAGTTTGTTGATGATGGGAGTAGATCCTGGTGGATTTAGCAAATCTAGTTTGCTGTGGTCCAACCAGATCTGGCACTGGACCGCGAGGCCAGATTTGATTCACATACGTTGCAAGCAACACAGGCCTCAGACTTCAGGGAATGGGACTGGCTATAGCTTAAATCAGTTTTAGTGAATCTGGATGAAGGGGAAATGTTAGCAAGTTTGCTGCAAGAACACACTGCTCTGCAAACAATGGCAAGGGATCTTCCCATTCAATGGGAAACAGGCAAGTGCTTCTTTTGAAATGGCCAGAATGAAACTATTTGAGGATGAGTGTTGCACTTTGCAGAATACTCTGATGCTCTATCAGACATTGTGAAGTGGTAGGACTCTATATTAAATGCAGAGATGCAACCCATTAAATCTACAGTAGTAATTCATCCCTGTGTAATATTTTAATACTATTGTATACACACAATCAACCAAAACCCTTCCCCAGAATATTACACAGCTTTCCTTTAAACTCTAAACCTCTAAAATCTTCAGTCTATGCCTACACTACAATTACAGATCACTCACATATAAAATGTCCAGACTGCGAACATATAAAATGCAGAAAGATCTTCAAATGAAATCAATGTTCTTTTCTCATGAGCTTCACTCAGACTTTTATCCTTGGCATCACTAAAATCTGTGTTTCTCTGTGTCCACCCAAGAGGCATCCGAGGCTAAGTCAAACCAAACTTTCTGACAGATAGAACATGGATTAATGTCTGGACTATTTGGAAAAATTCTAGTTCACTGGAGTGTATTCAACCCACCTGCTCCCTCCACTCGGCAGGCACTGAACTCCTCACATCCCCCCACCCTGAAGGCCCCATCATTAGCAGTCATTGTGTCGATGGTGGGCAGGCAAGACAGAAGCCATACTCGTTGACCCCCATCAATATCTTCTCTCCTGCTGATCTGACTTAAAACCTCCCCAGCCTATCCCTCAGACTCACCGAAGCGGTGCGCAACCTAGACATCAGGTTTGACCTCCAACTGTCCTTCCTCCCCCTATCTGTCCTTACCTCTCCGACTACTTACTACCCAACCCACTACCCCAGTGCCTCTGGTTGACAGGCTCCAGCCTCCTGAGTTGCCTCGTGCCTTCCTTCCCCCATTGGCGGGCTATTCATCCAGAAGCTACCATGTATGAGGAGCGCTACATCAATGCAAGTTGGTGCGCATCCATGGATGGTGATGCTGCCAGTGAATGACGTCCCCCCTGATGAGCAGATAGGACCTCGGTTTAACTGGTCACCTGAAGGATGACACCTTTAACAACATTAAAGCACACATCGAGAACTGCGAGGAGTGTCAGCTTACACTTTGAGTTCAAAGTCCCAATGTGGGGCTTGAACCCACAATAAACAAGAGTGCTATCAACTGAGCCAGGCACTGAATGCCCAGAATTCCCATTGTAGTATTTTTGCTTCTTAAATGAGGTGATTGAAGCTTCAACCAGTAAACTTTAACCTGAAAGGGGTTTCCCCTGGAGCCTTGACCAACAATACTCCAAATAAAATTGGTCATTCACAAGCTGGATGCCATGTTCACCTACAAGATCTTGCATTTAGATAGCGCCCTTGACTCAGCAGTCTCCGAGCGCTGCACTTAGGTGGGATTGGACACAGAGCGGGGGAGTTGGTGGGCGGTTAATGAAAAATCAACCGGCCACAGGGAGTAAACTCACTAGTCTCTTTTCTGAATAGTTTATACCGAATGAGCAAGATAATCTGTGGAGAACCCACTAAAGTACCACCTACCTGTTTCATATTAACAGCGAGAAACACAAAATAAACCGAGCAAAATCCCAGCTGCGTAACAATGAGGAAGAAGTCGACAGTTGCCCTGCAGCAAATAAAAAAAATGTTAGTTGCACTCACTTCAATCCAACAATAACCAAAACTAATGTATTCACCTTTGCTACATTTTCCAGTACTTTTAGACTTTCTCAACTGCAAAGAATATTGAAATTCCACCTTTTTTTTAAAATTGATTGTATCCTCCACACTTTGACTGACAAGCACTGAAATACAAAAACATTGGGGAAGATTCTTAAAAAGCAGCAGTCTTCTTTCAGAACAGCTGACAATAAAATATTGCAAAATATTTTATTCAGGCCACTCTCAACCTCAGCCAGCCTGCCTCCCTTTTACACAATCCCAATGTGTTACAATATCACAAAGGAGGTTTGATGCAAGATTTTTGCTGTGGTAAAATATTTCACATAAAATTTTCACTGCTCCAGTACAATACAAAATTACATTTGTATAGTGCCTTTCACATCAGGAGGACAGTCAGGGATTTGGACCCGAGCAGGGGAGGGGGCAGGGGAGTTTAGATCAGAGAGGGTGGAGAATAGGGAGGGTGGCCAAAGGCGCGGTCAAAGAGGAGGGTCTTGAGACGTGCCTTGAAGGGAAGCAAGGAAAGGAGCAAGGTGAAGGGATTGTGTTTGTGGGATACTGCTGTGCGCAATTGGCTGCCGCATTTCACCCACAAATATACAGTCAATTCGCTTTACAGTCTATTCTGTGAAGCGCTTTGAAACATCTAGAAGACGTGAAAAGCACTATATCAAATGCAAGGATTATTATTATTAGTGTGAAATGGAGTTCCAGAGGGTGGGGACAGAGAGGCTGAATGCCCGACCGCCGATGGTGGGGCGGGCGCGTGAACGTGGAGCAGGCTATAGCCTGCTAAGCAGACAGGTTGATATGGAGTTAGCAGGTCACAGAGATAGGAAGGGGTAGGAGGGCCTTGAAGGAGGAGGAGGAGGATTTTTAACTCTATACTCTGGGGGATGGGGAGCCAGTGGAGCCGGGAAAGGGTGGGGAAGATGGGATTATGGAGCCTGGTGCGGGAGAGGACACAAGCTGCAGAGTTCTGGATGATCTGCAGCTTGTGGAGGGAAGAATTGGGAAGGCCGACAAGCAGGAAGTTGGCATATTCGAGCCTAGATGTCATAAATGTGTGGATGAGGGTTTCAGCAGCCTGATAGGTGAGGTAGTGGCGGAGCCGGGCAATATTGTGGATGTAGGGTCATGGCACGAATGTGGAGTACAAACGATAGTTGAGGATCAAACAAGACACCAAGGTTCTGGACTGACTCAGTGAGGTGGAGTGTGCATCCACGGATGGTGATGCTGTCAGTGCCCGAGGTGTGGAGGTGCTAATGGGAGCCAATCACGAGAGCCTTGGTCTTGTTGACGTTTAACTGTAGAAAGTTAGCTCTCATCCAGAACTTGGTGTCTGACAGACATTCTGTCAGGATAGCAGTGGTCCTGGAGTTGAAGGTCGAGGCAGAGAGATAGAGTTGGGTGTCATCCGCATACATGTGGATCTTGACTCCATGTCTGCAGATGATGTCACCAAGAGGGAGCATGTACAAGTTAAAGAGGAGAGGACCAAGGGTAAAGCCCTGAGGAAAGCTGTACAAGACAGTGTGGGGGCTGGAGGTGAAGCAGTTTGTGAAGACAAAGTGGAGATGGTGTGAAAGGTAATATATGAACCACTTAAGAACGGAACCATGAAGGGTGAGGTGAGAGGAGAGCCGATGGAGGAGGATAAAAGGTCAACGGTATCAGGGCTGATACTGTTGACCGCTCTATCGCTCTATTTGACCAAGGCTCCACAATAATGTGCAATCAATTTAAGATGTTGCACGACTACCAGCATTGAAGATATTGTGCTATTAAAAATGTCAAAGACAAAATGGATCATTAGATACAGAAAGCAGAAATAGCAATCACTTCTTTGATAGCAGAACTCATGTTAAAGGTTAGTATGACAAAGAATTAATCTATATGCTAACATCCTCCTCCCATCCCAGTTATTTCAAGATTAGATACAGTTCAAGTGAACCCCAGGAAATGTCTAGAAGATACCCCTGAGATGACTTGCAATCTGGTCTGAAGCTCTAATTTGCAATACACAGCAGCAGTCAATGTGGTTTGCCATCCAGTTTGTCCTGCTTGAGCACCTCTGCTCAATATGGTGTTACAAGTAAATTTGGCACAGTCGGCTGAGTATTACTCCCAAGTTCTTTTCCAAGTCTCCCTGTTCAAATTAAATTTAATTCACTGTTAAATTAAATTCTACATTGTTTTCAATCCATATGTAATATCCTATATTTGTCATTTTCCCACTTTATTCGTTGTGTGTCTGATCAATTCCTTAAAATTACCTAAATCCTTTCCCAAATCAATGGGTTCCACTGCTCCTTAGAGTCATCAGGACATAATAAATAATCCTTGCACTTGACCAGGTAGTACGAATAATAATAATAATAATCCTTACATTTGATACATTGCCTTATCACGTCTTCGAGACGTCTCAATGCACTCTAACCACTAAGATACAGGACTCCACAGTTGGTTTTGTTATCCCAATTATTTAATCAGATTATAACAAGGCTCCAAGCACTTATCTTTGTGGGATTCACTTAATTCTCCCAAGTGTAACATCTTAAGATTCAACATTTTAAACCATTTTTTCTGAAGGGGAAATAAACAACCAATTGCATATTTATGTAGCACCTTTCACATCATAAGGACATCCCAAAACACTGGACAATCAAAGGTTTGCATTTAAGATAGGGGTTGGATTCAAGAATGGTGGGGTCCAAGGGAAGATGACCATAAGTGCAGTCAAAGAGGAAGGTCTTGAGAAGGACCTTGAAGGAAGTTAGAGAAGCGGCAAGGCAAAGGGATTCAGGGATGGAATTCCAGACAGTGGGGGCAAAAAGGCTAAAAGCACAACCATCAATAGTGGTACTGGCAGGGGACCTGAATCAGGCCAATGCCTGCAGAGTGGAGGGAAAGTATTGGTTAGTAAGGTTTTTAAGAAGGTCAAAAAGATCGGGCGAGGCAAGACCATGGAAGGCTTTAAAAGTAAGGACAAAGTTCTTGAACTCGATCCTTTGGGGGATGAGGAACCAATGTAGTTGGAAAGGATGGGGATGACAGGTTCGCGGAGCCTGGTGAGCAGACGACACAAGCTTCAGAACTCAGAATAGCACGCAGCTTGTGGAGAGAAGAGCTGGGAAGACCAGCAGGCAGAATTAGCATAGTCCAACCTGGAGGTGATAAAAGTATAGATAAAGGGGAATGGTGGTGACAGAGACAGGAAATGTTGTGACGGTGGTGAAAAGTTGACTGGATCAAGGCAAGGATATGTGGTTTAAAAGACAATTAGGGAAGCAAACAAGACACAGAGGTTCTGTGCTGGCGTAGTAAGGTGGAGTGTGCATCCGTGCACCAGAAGTAAAAAGGCACTGATAGGATCCAGGACTTAATGTCTGAAGGCAATCAGACAGGCAATCAAATCATAGGTGGAGGAACTCCACAATTGACTGTTTGGGGATGGCAAAATTCTAATGTAACATAATAAAAATAAAAAATAACGATAATGTTCAGAAAGTACTTTTTAAGTACAGCCATTTTTAATAAAATAGTACTTCGGTATAATGAGCAACCTTTTGTACTTCAACACAATATCAGAGAAAATAATTTGCATTGGTATAGTGTCTTTCACGAGGGATAATATCTCAGAGGGGGTCACAATGACAGGGTCAGACACTGAGCAAAGGAATGGGAGGTGATCATAGACACAGAGATAGAGCTTAGTGCAGTTGAGGGTATAGGTAATGGTGTTTTGAATCAGCTGGAGCTTCTGGATGGTGTAGCAAGGGAGTCCAACAAGGAGTGCATTTGAAAAGTATGCCTGCCTTCTGCATTACTGGACACATCAGGAGGTGGTTTCATTGACTTTGATAGGGACGGGCACTTTAGAAGCATCAGGTGGATAGGGTTGGGTGATTTAGAGTCCAAAATGCCTGAAAAATACTTCCCTCAATGACTGAGATACAAAGTTCCACTTACCACAGATTACAAATCTTATGTATTCCCATGAGTCACACCTAAGCTGTCACAGCTGCTATCACACAGTGGGCCTACGTTCTCCCCCACCCTTCCAAACCTCAGAAACCACTGGTCCCCAGTGTATTTTTATACACTTCAGTGGACTGTCGATACACAGACTCAGTAGTCACTCAATGAACTAACTATGCACTTTTGAATTCATCAACTGTAGGATATGCAGTGTAAATTTCCTTAAACACCCGAAAAATTTTAGTTCCCAATTCTTCCTTGGGCTCCTTTCACTAGCACTCAACTCACTTGATCTTCTTTGCCCAAAGAATCTATGTTGTAACAATAACTATAGCAATGGGACATATCCCCTTAATAATCCTTGCATTTAATATAGCGCTTTTCACGTCTTCTAGACTCCCAAAGCGCTTCACAGAATATACTGTAAAGTAAATTGACTGCATATTTGTGGGCGAACGCAGCAGCCAATTGCGCACAGCAATGTCCCACAAATAGTCGTAGATTGAAAATGACCAATTTATTATTGTTGTTTTTTTTTTGGAGGGATTATTATTAGGCGTGTGGAGTAAGGAAACTTGCCCAAGGTTTCGCCCTCTGCCTGGAATTGAACTCAGGTCTCTCGCTTGCAAAGCGAGTGCTCTAACCACTGAGCTACAGGACTCCACGTGTTCCTGGGAATGAGGAACTCAGGTCTCGCCTTGAATGAACATTNAAAAAAATGAATGTCAACCATGTTAATTTCAGGTAACAATCGACAACATGAATCAGATTGGGTAACAAATAAAAACGTGTGAGTTATTTCTTAAATTGTGTTCAAGGTCTGTAAAAATGGAACACTTACTTCTTTTGCCACCCCAATGTCGATATCGTGCAGCCCCTTGGTATAGGTCCAATCAATGTACCATAAAATTCCATGTATTTATACCCTAATGCCACTCTCAAAATAAACCAACCCAATCGCACGGGTGTGGTTACACCCACCATCCTCTGCTTTCTGATAAGATCGCAAATCAAACAATAATTTAAGGGCTGTGTTGTACTGTGGAATCATGATTAGGATTAAGATTGCCAGAACTAATTTCAAGATGGAACTACAACTACAACAAAATTACATTTATAGAGTGTCTTTCACGTCGGGAGGATGTCCCAGAGCGCTGAAACTATACAGCCAGGAGAGGAGAAATCAAAGCTTTCAACATCATTCTGGTCTGGATTTAAATTAACAGCATAAATTTGAAAGAATAGTTTGCTAACTGCAAGCTGTGTGGTTTTAGCTGGTTAAACTCCATGAGTACCCCAATGCACACTCTGGGGTCACCCAGGTCTGGGCTCTCACCAACCTGTCTGTGCCCACTACTTTCTGGAATTAGGTAAATAAGATGTCTCTCTCCAGGAAGAGAGTGCGCATTCCATTCTAGACAATTTGGAATTTCCACTCGTCATTCCCTCCCCCATGCAATATTCTTACTTGTGTGACGGAACTAAAAATGGTTCATCGTGACAAGTTGAGATCAAACTTAGCACAGACCAGAATTCAACTGAGTAATACATGACCAAAGTGTGTTTATCCACCAATTCCTCCAAAAACTAGTGAATAATAATGCCTCATTTGTGTTGAAGCAGAGCTGGGAAGTCCTTCAGAGCAGCGAAAATCAAACCAGAAGTGCAATGCACCAGCTTACCTTCCCCATGAAGCCTTGGTTCGAAGGGTGTGGAATGGTGCATGTTCCATGGCACAAGTCACTGTGTCACCATAACTCAGGCTTGGTTTTTTAAGCCTATAAAACAAGTTCACGTTTAATGTAGATTTACAAACAGTGATGCATAATGAGATTAAAAAGAATTTCCAACAACATGATTTTGCTACACATTATAACTTTAAATCTTTCATTTTATTTCAAAGACAGGACTGGAAAAATAAGATTTCCGATTGCTGAAATGGCCCAATTATAAAAGCAACCAGTTTCACTGTTCAAATTCCATCTTTTCTCACTCCCACCCGAGTCAGTTCAGTGCTGTGTACAACAACAACTTGCACTTATTTAGTGCCCTCCATGCAGGGAGCATCTCAGAGCACTTAACAGTGACGGAGCCTGACTCCGAGCCAGAGTGGATGGGGCAAGGAAGGTGACCATAAGCACGGTTATAAAGGAAGGTTTTCAGGTGGTACTTGAAAAAGAGGAGAGAGGGGGCAAGGCCGAGGGATTGAGGGAGAGTGTTCCAGAGTTTGGGGGCGTAGTGACTGAAAGCACAGCCTCCAACAGTGGAATGGAGGGTGCGAGGGACAAGCAGGAGGCCAGTGCCAGTCGAGCGGGGGCGCCAGTTAGTGGATTGGGGAGTGAGAAGGTCGGAGAGGTAGGGAGGATTTGAACACGAGTGTGAGGATCTTGAAGTCGATCCGTTCTGTGATGGGGAGCCAGTGGAGCCTGGCCAGAACTGGTGAGAAGTGGGTACAGAGTTTGGTCGGGGTCAGTATGCGTGCAGCAGAGTTCTGAATGAGCTGGATCTTTTGAATAGTGGAGCTGCGGCTGCGGAGACCATTGAGGAATGCATTTGAATATCCAGGCAGATTACAAACTCATGACAAACACACGCACAAGTATTTCAGCTGTATTCGGGATAAGGTACAGTCGGAGGCGGGCAATGTGGTAGAGGTGGAAGAAGGTGGTACTGAGCAGGAACTGGATATGAGGGAGGAAGGACAGCTGGGAGTTAAACCGGACGCCTAGATTGTGAACTGGTTCGGTGAGTCTGAGGGAGAGCCCAGGATGTATAAGATTTAAGAAACTTTTTTTTAGAAAAAAAACTTTTGTAATTTAAATTTGTCCTTCACAATCAAATTGCAACATGACCCAGCAATGCTGCCAATTTAGTTCTGGATCGCAATAAAGCCCACTGGTATTTATTTTCCTCCCATCCAATTCCATCTCCCTCTTTTATTCATTTTTTTTAAAATCTGAGATTGAACTGTTTTCACCTCCCCCCACCCACCCTATTGCTAAAGACCCCATGACTCTATTCAAAATGAGGAAGCAGTTTCTTCAGGTGCTTTGGCAAACAATCTTACAGACTTTAATTCATGGCTGCACTAGTCTGTTCAAATTGGCTACAAAACACACACAGTAAATACTGCAAAACGCTTCCAGACATTTGACATTGCAATAAGGCACAATATCAAAAGCAAGAATTTTTTTAAAGAAAACTTATTTACAGATTTTTGCGAATTCATTTATATTCTACCAATTAATTACATCAGTTTTCCCCCACAATGATGGTATAATAGACCGATCTGTGAACTCAAATAAGGCATTTGATCTCGACAAGTGTTTTCTAAGCTTGCGCCCTATCCTTTTATTGTCAATCAATACCTTCAGTTTCTATGCAACCTTTCCCTCTCCTTCAAAATATGTTTTATTCAAATTCCCACCCGTGCCCTTTAATCAATACTTTCTAAAATTTTGGAAGCTAGCAGCAGCTCAACATTATCAATCTTTTTTACAGTTCTAGTATAAATGTCAACTTTATAGCCTCTAGGGCAGAAGATTGTGAGCCCAAGCCATCACCATGGGCTTCTCTGAAAGGAATGAGTCAACACATACTTCTAAATAAATCCCAATCCTCATTCATGCTCTTTCACAAATTATATACATGGTCAATTTCTTAAATTATAATCCATATTGCTGTTCATGTCTTACCATCTGACAGTAATACTTGGGATTTTCTTAACCCCTCCTTCCCAATTCAGTTCCCTCTCCCTCCTTTGCTATTTCATGACTGTTTGGTAAGGTATTAACCTACCAAGAATAGAGGGGAACCAAGAAGACAATGTTAGCGAGCAACTTGGCGGAATTAATATTAGTAAATAAATGGTTTTAGGTAAATTGTCAGGTCTTAAAACTGATAAATCTCCTGGACCTGATGGCCTACATCCTAGGGTTTTAAAAGAGGTGGCTACTGAGATAGTGGATGGCTTGTCTTTGATCTTCCAAAATTCTCTGGATTCTGGAACGGTTCCCATTGATTGGAAGATTGCAAACGTAACACCACTATTTAAGAAGGGTGGGAGAGAAAAGATGGGGAACTATAGACCAGTTAGTCTGACATCAGTGGTAGGGAAAATTCTTGAGTCCTTAATTAAAGATGTCGTTATGGGATCCTGGAAGACCATAACAAGATTAGGCAGAGTCAACATAGCTTTACAAAAGGGAAGTCATGCTTAACTAATCTTTTAGAGTTTTTTGAAGATGTATCTAGCAGGTTAGATAGGGGGGAGCCAGTAGATGTAGTAAATTTAGATTTTAAAAAGGCATTTGACAAAGTGCCACACAAAAGGCTATTGCACAAGGTTAAGTCCCACGGGATTAATGGGAACATATTAGCATGGATTGAAGAGAGGCTAACGGGTAGAAAACAGAGAGTAGGGATAAACGGGTCATTCTCGAATTGGCAGGATGTGACTAGTGGAGTGCCACAAGGATCAGTGCTTGGGCCTCAGCTATTTACAATTTACATCAATGATCTAGACGAGGACATTGAATGTAATGTATCTAAATTCGCGGATGACACTAAACTAGGTGTGAGAGTAAGCTCTGAGGATGATGAAAAAAAATTGCAACGGGATATAGATAGGCTGGGGGAGTGGGCGAGTAGGTGACAGGTGGAATTTAATGTGGGGAAGTGTGAAGTTATTCACCTAGGTAGAAAAAATAGAAAAACAGACTATTTTCTGGAGGGGGAGAGATTAGATAGTGTTAGTGTTCAGAGGGATTTGGGTGTCCTCGTACACAAGTCTCAAAAAGTTAGTTTGGGCAGGTGCAGCAAGCAACTAAGAAGGCGAACGGCACGTTAGCGTTCATTGCAAAAGGTTTAGAGTACAAGAGTAGGGAAGTCTTGCTGCAACTGTATAGGGCCTTGGTGAGACCGCACCTAGAGTATTGTGTGCAGTTTTGGTCTCCTTATTTAATAAAGGGTATACTTGCCCTAGAGGGGGTGCAGCGTAGATTCATTAGGTTAGTTCCTGGGATGAGGGGACTGACCTATGAGGATAGGCTGAATAAACTAGGGCTATGTTCTCTAGAGTACAGAAGAATTAGGGGAGATCTTATTGAAACATATAAGATTCTTAAAGGGCTGGATAAAGTAGACACAGAGGGACTGTTTCCCCTGGTAGGAGAACCTATAACCAGAAGTCACAGTTTTAAAATTAAGGGTCAGCCTTTTAGAACAGAGTTGAGGAAACATTTCTTCATGCAGAGGGTAGTGAATTCCAGAAGGCTGTAGATGCTCAGTCCTTGAACATCTTCAAGGCTGAGACTGATAGATTTTTTAAAAATAGAGGGATTAGGGGATATGGGGATAGGGCAGGTAATTAGTTAGGTCTGAAGATCAGCCATGATCTTTTTGAATGGTGGGGCAGGCTCGAGGGGCCGAATGGCCTATTCCTGCTCCTAATTCTTATGTTCTTATGTTCTGCGGTGAACAAATTGGCTGCTACATTTGTCTAACAAAATACACAGCAAATGCAATTTACAATGAATTATGTGAAGGACATTGAGACATATTCTATTATCCTAATAAAAATCCATATTAGCTTTTAAAAGGGAAATAAAAAATACCTAAAAAGGATATTTATTTTGAGCGCACGCAACATTAATTCATGGATTCAAGTTTCAAGTCATTACTTGAGCTCATAATCCAGGCCGACACTTTAGTGTTACAGGGATGAGATGTCCACCTCCTCCTACCCAGCCAGCCTGTCTGAAGTGCTATCAGACAACCTTCCAAAGTGATACACGTAATATAAATAGTTCTTGTTCATTACAACCTTAATTTATATTGCAGTGCAATGGTCATCTTTCAGTGGAAAGGTCACTATATTGCAGCACAATGGTCAGATCATTAAATCTTATGTGATTTCACTTTAATTTGACCTTACAATTGAATCATGCATGCAATTATAAATAAATCCTTTCAATTCATACAGTACCTTTGATCATTGGAGGTCACGCATTCAGCTGCACCACTATGAAACTCTGGAAAACTCTCCTTCAATCTCTCCACCTTGCCCCCTCTCTCCCCTTTTTCAAGTCCCGCCTGAAAAATCTCCTTTTCAACCGTGCTTACCTCCCCCACCCCCTACTCTGCCACTGTTAAGTGCTCTCCTGTGTGGAGGGTGCTATACAAGAGCAGGTTGTTGTTGTTGGGTACTAACTTTAATCCACAATCTTTTGAAGCTTAAACCCACAAATATTTGGTACCAATGTAAATAAATATTACCAACTGATTAACATTTACACCATGACAACCACACTATATAAAACAAAACTCATTTCCTCCAAATAAATTAATAAAGATTTTTAAAAATTCAACAAGAGATGTAGAGTACCATATTCTGGACTGTTTGACAAGGCTGCAACAAGTCCCTGGGTTGAGATGGAACTGATAATCACTTGAGCTTTGCCTTTAGTGTTAATAGCTTGAAGATTAAAGAAAGAGGCAAGATTTTACCTTTGGCAGAAATGATGACTACAGCGTACTACAATGTGCATACAGTGAACTGCCACAATGCCCATCAACACAAGACTGACTGGTCCAAGCTGTAACAAAAACAAATGCAATGTATTTTAAAAAAAAATATATTTTCACAAGTTCAGTAAGCTAGCAGAAATTTCATCTTTTGAATAGAATGTCTACGATCAACAATACTAATAAAAATCTGTACATTTGATATAGCACCTCCAGGCAATAGAAGTTGATCCTATTAGACAGTAGTCTGGTTCCTGAACTAGACAGTGATCCAGTACTTAAAAGACAGTTAATGACAAATCAGGTAGCCTGGTTCATTATTATAACTTAGCAAACCAGTCACTGAAGGCTGGGATTCTTCCCACTTGCTCCAGTTAACCCTGCAAGCCAAAGTCCTATTGGGTAGAATGGACAAACTGAGGAAAGGTTTCCATTGTTTCAGTCAGGAGCAGAGGCAGGAGCGGGACCTAGGAATGGGGATAAAAGCCACAGCGAGGAGAGCAGTCAGCCAGTCAGGAGCAGAGGCAGGAGAGAGATAAAAAACCAAGCGACCAGCGGGAAAGTTAAAAAGTGACGTCAGACAGACGTCACAATCAAAACATTCTGAAAGAGTAAACTAACAGCTCACACTAACTACTAACTAACAGTAAACTAACACTAACTACTAACTAACAACACTAAAAATAAAATAAATTTAAAAAAATTAATTAAGAATTTAACTTTTAAAAAATAATAATTAATTAAATAAAGCTTTAATTCACAGTGGGAGTGGGAGAGGTGACAATGGCGGGGCAGGTGTTGTGTGAGGACTGTAACATGTGGGAGTTGCTGGAGGGCAGTCTGAGCCCGGGCAACCACACCTGCAGCAAATGTCTGCAACTGGAGCCAGTCACTCACCTGAGGCTCAGGGAAAGTATAGATAATAGTATCAGTCAAGGACAGGATAGGGTGTCTGACAGGCAGGAGGTTGAGGGAACACCAGAGAGAGTGGTTGTGAAGCCTCAGGCTTTAACCTTGGCCAACAGGTTCGAGATCGTTGCAACCTGTGTGAACAAGGAAGCCTGTGAGGAGGAAGGAAAACGTGATTCCAATATTAGAGGAAACAAACAGAAAGTTGCAGTAATTGGGGACAAGACTATCAGGCGGACAGATACACTTATCTGCAGCTGCAACCAGGAGACCCGAAGGCTTTGTTGCCTTCCTGGGGCCGGGGTGAAGGACGTCTCAGCGTGGCTGGAGGAGAATCTAAAATATGAGGGTGAGTACTTGATGGTACTTCACATAGGTACCAATGACATAGGTAGGGTTAGTTGTGATGATCTGAGGAGGGAGTTCAAGGAGCTGGGAACTAAATTAAAATAAAAACATCAAAGGTAGTGATATCAGCATTGCTGCCTTTGACGTGCAAATTGGTACAGGAATAAGCAAATCAGAGAGTTAAGTGCTTGGCTGAGGGAGTGGTGCGGAACGCAGTGGTTTCATTTTATACACCACTGGCACCAGTATTGGGGAAAAAGGGGTCTATTTTAAAAAAATGGGCTCCACTTAAATCGGGCTGGGACAAATGTCCTAGTAAACCGAATACATAGGGAGGTAAATAAAGCTTTAAACTAGTAAAGGGGGTGGGGGGGGGAGAGAGATACAATTAGAAGTAATCGCAGACCAGCAATATTAAGAAAACTAAAGGTGGCAGAACAGAATAGTGAGAGAGATAAACAGAATAGGTCAAAGAGGGGTAAGAAGCTCAGTAAAGAGAGTAGGGGAAGTGGTAAGAAATTAAAATCGCTGTATCTGAATGCACGAAGCGTTCGGAATAAAATAGATGAATTAAAGGCACAGATAGATACAGACAGGTATGATCTAGTAGCCATTACTGAGACATGTTTCCAGGGAGATCTAGGGTAGGAGTTAAATATTTCAGGGTTTTCAGCTTATAGGAAGGATAGACAATGTGGAAAACAAGGTGTGGGGTAGCCTTGTTAATAAAGGATGGAATAAAAACACTGCTGCCACATTTCGCCCACAAAATTGACAGTTACTGTACTTTACAATATATCCTGTGAAGGGCTTTGAGACATCTTGAAGATGTGATAAGGCGCTATATCAAATGTAAGGTTTATTATTGTTATTAAACTTCAGCAGTATCCCAATACAGTAAACCCATATCTTACCAGATCCAGGGATCCAGAATTCAGACCAAGCCAGACTAGGCTTGAAACAGCAAAATTAAAAAACAAATCCACTGGTGTGTGTAGACTCGCATCAGTCCCACTTCTATTGTTCACCCCACCTCCCCATGTTTGGTGGCTTTCAGCGACCAGGGATATCGACGTTTGACTCAGTTTGAATCCCACTAGCAGATGATTGCTTCTTCGCTATTTTCTACTCACAGGATTCAAGCAATTACAATGCCAGTAATCACATTTACAGGTAATTTTCAGCACTGAGAAAAGCTGGTGCCGAAATAAATCAGTAAATGTCAATAACAGTGAGCTGAAATTTCAAGTGCACATTAATCTGGGGTCTTCAAACATTGATTCTTGCCAACCTATGCCTAAAGTCTTCAACACTAGATAAGCAATGTGTGTCCCTCCGAGGAGAAAGTGCACCCTCATATCAAACAAATACAAATCATACATATGTGGAACTCTCCGTTTGATTTGGAGACTCAAGAACTGTGATGATTCTGCAGTGTCAGATACCCTAGGATCTAAAATCACTGGGGATTCTTCTCCCTTTCCCAGCAAACGTTTGGTGCTCACTTTCTCTGACATTGCCCCTTTAAATAAGAAAATACATGTTCTTACCACAAGACCTGCATTTTTGATTGCGAGAGGCAAACCTAGCAATCCTGTGCCAATGTTTCCTTTCAACAAATGAACAAGTGTTTGAGTAAACCTGCAATAAATAAAAAGGATACATCAACATGGCAAATTGCTTCAAACAGTAACTTTTGCATTGCTTTCAATGTACAAATTCCCAGACTTGAATCAAAGATCCATGACCTTCTTGCAGATGATTTCGTTAAGAAAAATGAAATGAATTGCTCAAAAAGTCTAGGAACAACAAATTAGCATTGGTCGCTAAATAGAGATCACATAAGGTTTGGATTAAGCAGGCCCTTTGGTCCATTTAATTTCAACCTCGTGGAACACCAAACCTACTGAGTTCTAATTACAATATCAAGTTTAACTGAGTGCAACACTTGGCAGCAAACATCCTTCCTGGTAGCCACATGCTATTTATTCTGTATAAAGAATAAACATTCTGGCTTTTTTGTATACTTTTCCTTCCCAGCGCCATTTCTTGCTCTCTTGACATAATAATATTGGATTTGCTTTCTATTATTCCCTTGAGCAGTTTACACAATTCTACGAAGATCAGCTCGTGCTTCATTCCATCCCACAGTCTCAACTTGTAGAAGAAATCTAGTTTCTTCCGGTAACAACAGTCAGAGTGGCATTCTGATATATAAAAAAAATTAAATCAATGAAAGACAAACTTTAGACAGCATAAAGTGTGATCATCGTGTCAACAACAAATTCTGCTGAAATTAAAAATGTAAGGGATCCAAACTGATAAATGCAATTCTATTCTAAAATTCTCTCTATGATTTAGTGGGAAAATACACCATAGTGTGGTTGAGAGTTATACAGCCTACAATGTTCCCAAGCTCGATCACTGAAGTGCCAGATGGATCTCAGCTCAGGACACCTGAAGCACTACCTTGATTAAATAGGGAAAGATTGGCCAGAAATTCTTCATGAGCATTATCGTGTGAAAGTGCGCAATCCCTAATCTGTGTGCATAAAATGTTAGATGCAATCAAGCCGAGCTCAGTTGTGCTGCTCACCCTCCCCTCCCAAACACTCACAGATGAACAACTGCCACTTGGAAAAGGTACAAAAGGGCGAGTGGGATAATTATTTCACCACAGGTCACTGGGTTTAAGAGAAAGAACTAACATTGAAAGTTTTATCTAATTGAGTTTTATGGTCATAACATGTACTTACGTTATGCCCTGTTGATCACCAAACTCTTGTGAATGCATCCCTGTTAAATCAGGCTCATGTTCTTCATCTGATATTTCTTCGGAACTATGCGTTGCTTCTATAAGAGGTTTCATAACTTCCATATCTGCAAAACCAAAATAAGAGTCAGCCTGGCTCAATTGGTAGCACCCTCACCTCCAAGCATGAGTTTTGTGGATTCAAGCCCTATGGAACTAGCATAGTCTAGGCTGACACTCAGGCAAAGTTCATTTGCTGCATTGTTGCACATACTGTCTTCAGGTTGAGAGGTTAAAACAAATTAAAAATTTTCTCCCATTTCATTGTGATTGATTTGGATTGCCATTACATTGCCATTTTACCACAAGGTTAGTTTCACCACCTCTCAGAAGATATTCTTCGTGTGCTCCACTGCATTGAAAATGCTAAGTAGGCTGACATTAAGTTGGCTCAATCGACATTGAAATCATCAGGAATCATTTTAGCTCAGTTGGGCACTCAATGTGCCTTGGGATTTATAATTTCCACACTGGGGCAAAAGGTTGTGGATTCAAACTCAATTTAACATTGGCGGATATGCTAAACCAAAGTTCTGCCTGTCTATTTACTTAGGAGTTAAAGATACCATGACATTGTTTGAAAAGAGAAGGGAGTTTCTCCCAGTGTCCTGGTGAACAATTCCCCAGATAAAATGGTCTCACTTCAAGACTGTTTGTGGTACATTGCTGAGCGCAAATTAGCTGCCACATTTGCCCCCCAAAATTAACTGTGAAACACTTAGAGATGGTTCAACATTAAAGATACTATAATCAACTTCAAACATTGTAAGTATTTACTACCAAATCTCTAATCACCTAAAGAGGGGTAGAACAGTATCAGTAAGAAAATAATGAACACAGAGAAGAGATTAAAAAGGCAATGCAGAAATAATGGGGTAGTCTTGCCACTTTATAAATCACTGATGGGATTGCACTTGGAATACTGTGTGCAGTTCCAGTCACTCCAATATAAAAAAGGATATTGCATAATTGAGAGAATGCAAAGGAGGGCAACCAAAATGATTAAGGGGATGGAGGGAATGGACTACGAGGATCGATTAGATAAATTGGGCATGTTCACACTGGAGAAGAGAAAATTGAAGAGAGATATGATTACGGTCTTTAAGAATCTGAAGGATATAGATAATGTAGACCAAGATAAGCTGTTTTATCTTGTACTGAACAGAAGAACCAGAGGACACAGCCTGGACACGGATTGAAAGGAGTAAACTTAGAACAAATCTGCGGCAACACTTCTGTGAGTGAGTAGTAAACTTATGGAACAGCTCCCTATGGATTCAGTGGAAGCAGAAAATGTTGTTTGTTTCAAGAACAATTAAATAGATTTCTGCTAGAAAATAGTATCTCGGGATACTGTATATAGTTTGGGACACGACATGTCAAGCGACTGCCGAAATGGTGGAAGGCGAACTACATGATCTTCTTTCGCCAAGCAAATTCTTATGTTAAGAGAGAAAAGCAGTAAAAACACATTCAGAACAGGTGTAACACCTCATCCAAGCAATAGCACCTTCAACAATGAGCACACCTCCAGCATTGCTTTGGAGCATCAGCTTAAACTATATGCGTTCCAAGTCTCAACGTGGGGCTTGAATCCACAACCTTCTAACTCAGAAGGAAACATTTTTTTTCACCCACCCAAACATATGTTTCTCAGCATAAATTCTTTTGAGACTTCACCATGCCTCTGCCAAAGGTCGGCAGTGAAAGAAAATACTGCCCAGGTACTGCCAATTTGCACACAGCATTGTCCCACGAACAGACTAAGTCTAAAGGTGAATCTAAAGCTCACTTGGGCAATTTAAAGAGCATCAACAACAACAACAAATTACATTTGTATAGCGCCTTTGAAGTCAGGAGGACAACCTAAGGCGCTGGACAGTCAGGGATCAATATCAATATTGATAACACAAGTAATCACAGAACAATATATAACCAAAGCAACAATATATAACGTTGGCTGTACTGGGTTGAGCCAAAACATTTTAATGACATTATAAAAGAGGCTCCCAGTAGGAAAGTTACTTTACTCAGTTGTCATTCATTGTTAAAGTTAATAAGATATATCACAGGGGTGAATTTGGGCATATCCTGAAGTACAAAATCCCATTCTGAGACCTGGATACATTAGTGACTGGCATCAGGATGCCACCTCTACAAATGCACATTAAGGTTCAATAGATAAGTGGCACATGAACATATAATATATAGGCATTCTACAATTGTTTGTTACCACATATATAAATGTGTGTATATTTCTATAATTGTTGTTCAAAAATGAACAAGTCCACGGGGAACAAATTAATTTTCCCAATTCACAGAACAAGGCTTCTAAACCATCATTGTACAAAACTACTAACTCTGAAATTTTAGAGTTAGGAATTGGAGTGTTAAACTGACTTTTCAACCTCAAATTCTGCACTTTTTTTTGTCAGTGTTTAAACAGGAAATACACATGAATACTCAGTTCAATCATGCAATGAACCGCAAACCACATGCATTCATGTTAAACCTTAAAATTAGAAGTCAAGCTATAGAATTAAAATATTTGCAGAATTAGAAAAATAGGTTGCATTTATATAGTGCATTTCACTTGAGGTAGCGTCTCAAGAGTGCTTTAAAACAGCATAATTTGACACCGAGCTGGGGAGAAAGGGGAGGTGACCATAGGCATGGTCGAAGATGAAGGTCTGAAGATAATAATAATAATCCTTGCATTTGATACAGGGCTTTTCACACTTTCTAGACGTCTCAAAGCACTTCACAGAACAAGATGGACAAAGAGTGGGCAAAGCCGGTTGACTGAAGCAAGAAAATTCAGAGGTTCAGGCAATAATGGCTGAAGGCAATGCCACCGACAGTTGAGTGGAGGGGACAAGGGATACACAGAAGGCCCAAGACAGCCAAGCCAAGGGAACGACTAGAGAAGTGGTGTGTGAGCAGGTTGAAAAGGCAGGGAGGCGCTTGGGCACAAAGTAATTTCTCAGTGAATGTGAGAATCTTGAACTCAATCTGTTCTGTGACAGAGAGCCAATGGATCCTGGCAAAGGACGAGGAAGATTGGGCCCTTCTTTCTGAAAGCACCTGATCTCCATTTAGAACCCACATGAAGTTTTGAAAATTCACTGGTAATGGGGTGAAGAGAGAAAGAAAATCCCTCATCCCATCACTCCATTGCAGAGGATGTCACAGCCCTGATGAACTGTGGGTATTATATAATTCTTCATGTCATAATACCAGTAATATGAAATACTTCACCCACAAAATACAGATGATCCACTTTACAGTATATTCTCTAAAGCGCTTTGAGACGTCTCAATAATGCGTTTCGCCCACAAATGTAGTCAATTCACTTTACAGTATATTCTGCGAAGCGCTTTGAGACGTCTCGAAGACATGAAAAGTGCTATGTCAAATACAAGGATTATTATTATTATATAAAATCCAAGAATTATTATATTATTATATCATTATTATAATAATGTTCAGCAGAAAAGCAGTACTCATTCTGCCTCCATTAGTCCGTGACCTCACACGTGGAGTTTCAACACACAATATTTATAGCATTTACTTTATTACCAGGTGCTTCTATCTAGGTCCCCAAACTTGAACTAACATCACAGCTTGTATAACAAAACTCTTAAGGTATTGAATGCTGAATGGGAGGCAAAATTATTTTGGATACTTAATTTGTCATACCCCAAAAAAAATGAAAAAAAGGGTGAGATGTGTTTTAAGAAAAAAAGGTATCTTATGTTTTGGAATATATGTAAGAAAATGAAATTCGGATGTCACTCTGGGTAACACTGTTAAACGATGTAAGCACCGCCAAACACCCCCCACCGCCCTTGCAATTTAACATTTAAAAGAGATTGAGTAAAGTTTTTTTACCCACTACATTATATGATTTCAAAGCATGTCACTGCAACTTGTGTACAGCAACGAACCAAGACAGATTTTTTTTTAAAAAAAGCAAAATAACCAGCCATGAGTTAACAAACCTGAGCAACACTTGAACCAGATCTTACGTACAGTACCAAATCAAGTTATTTGTTTCGTTTCTAAGCAAACCAATCAGTCAGCATTTACTAACATGGGCCACACTTGAACCACGGCTTATATCGATGCAGCGGTTCAGTTTTCCTCGGGGATAATAATAATGATCCTTGCATTTGACATAACGCCTTATCACATTGTTGAGACGTCTCAAAGCACATCACAGAATACACTGTAAAGATTGTGCCCCCTCTCTCCCCTTTTTCAAGTCCCGCCTGAAAACCTTCCCACTTCGACCGCGCTTGAGGCCACCTCCCTCCCCACCGGCTCGGAGTCGGGCTCCGCCAGCGGGAAGCGCTCCGAGACGCTCCCCCGCGCGGGGCGGGGCGGGGGGGAGCGCGGATTGTCGCGGTGCGAGACGCGGCGGCCGGTCGCCCGCCGCGGCGTCCGCGGGGGGTCAGCCGTGGCTCTCGGGCGACCGCATTATCATCTGTTTCGTTCCGTTTCTTGAGGTGGGGGGTGGGGGCGGAGAAGGGATGGTCATCCCTGGGAAGTGAGCCGCGGGTCAATCGTCTTGAGGACCGGTCTGGGGATCTGGGACTGAGGCTGAGGCTGAGGTGGACAGATGTCTCTGTCGGTGGTGCGGGTTTTGTGCGTTGGCGCCATTACAGCTGTGCCCACACGGGGGAGAGGGGCCGCAGCGGTGAAAGCGCCTCTCGCAGCTCCTGCGGTCAGTTACCTATTTCCTCGTTCGGCTCCATGTCAGCGCCACGTCAGAGGCCGTCTCCTCCTCCTCCTCCTCCTACACACACACACACACACACCTCCCGACAGACACAGCAGCTTCTCCTCAAAACATCTCTGGGGAACACAACAACAACAACAACAACGCACGTTTAAACACCAACACCATCCGTGTCCGTCCACCCACCCACTCACCCACCAAACCGCCGCCGCCTCCTCCCAAATGGAAACGCGGCCTCTCGCAAAGTCCCGGCAGAGAGAGGAGAGGGAGAAACGCGCCGTAAGGTTACACACCGCGACACGTGAACCCCCCCCGTGAGAGGCAACTTCCCGGCAGTGCGGACTCCCCGTGTCCGCCCCGTCCTGTCCCCGTGTCCGCCCCGTCCTGTCCCCGTGTCCGCCCCGTGTCCGTGTCCGCCCCGTGTCCCCGTCTGTCTGTGTGTGTGTAGCCGCTGTGTTCGGGGATCGCACAAAGCGCCGCCGCCGCTACACTGTCGCCCCATTCGCTACACTGTGGCCCTGAGCGCTATATTGTCGCCCTATCCGCTACACTGTCCGCTACACTGTGGCCCTGTGCGCAGGGCTGCGGTTGCCCGGCACGGACCTGGCCTGTCGGCATTGGAGGCCCCGACACACGGCGGCGGACTGCACGGCAGGAGGGCGCCGCGCTGCCAGGGAACGGCACCCAAAGGACAAGGGGTACATGCGCAGTCCGGCCTGACCGCCGAGACATGCGCACAGAGGCTCATCCACCGCCCGCCTCCCGCTGTCACACAGGATGGTCCCCACCTGCTGTCACCGGGCAGGGCTCCCCCAGCAGCTCTCTGGCCTGGTGGGGTGTGTGTGCAATGTCTGTGTACGTGTGTGCAATGTCTGTGTACGTGTGTGCAATGTCTGTACACGTGTGTGCAATGTCTGTACACGTGTGTGCAATGTCTAGGTGTGTGCAATGTCTGTACACGTGTGTAAAATGTCTGTACACGTGTGTGCAATGTCTAGGTGTGTGCAATGTCTGTACACGTGTGTAAAATGTCTACACGTGTGTGCAATGTCTGCACGTGTGCAATGTCTACACGTGTGTGCAATGTCTGTACACGTGTGTGCAATGTCTGTACACGTGTGTGCAATGTTTGTGTACGTGTGTGCAATGTTTCAACACGAGTTCTGGTGAAATGCAGAAGTTGTTACTTCATTTGCAGGAAATAGTGGTTTAAATAAAAGGAATGTGCGGTTTCGTTTTAAGAGTGAAGACACTTACCGTTAATGTTTTTTCTCGCCAGCTCCCAACCTGGATTGGTTTTGCTTATTGTGGTGACTCCACGTGAACTTTGGAATGTGTGTGTTAAAGAAATGTCACCCCCTAAATTATTGCAAATGCCCATATTCCAATTTTGACACCCAACAGTTTATGAATTAAAATGTTCATGTTAGACTTATTGCCTCACAGTTGACTGCGGATAATGGCTGAATAAATATGCCATCGAATGAAATGATTGCTTTGAAATGCAAAGATTATTATTTAATTAGATATTGTAGCAAATAGTCGCAAAGGGAGCTTCATCACATGTCAACTATGGTGAACTTGGGAGAGCCTGAATCATGGTGGGATGAAAAGACCCAAGGTAAAAGTCGTAGGATAGTCATGATCAAATAAGTTGGTTGTTCGCCTCATGGCTGCACATGAGGCTTTACTCAGTAAGAAGGGAGTTTATCCAAGTTTCCTGACCAACAATTCCTCAGATAGAAAATGGTCATTCTCCTCCAAGCTGTTCATTGGATATTGCTATGCACAAATTGGCTGCCACGTTCACCTACAAATACATTCACTACATGTTACAGTGAATCCCATGAAGCACTTTCAAAGGTATTGACGGTGTAAGAAGGCCTATATTCTATCAAATACAACGTTATTGTAATACGGTATAAGTAATTGAGATGTTCCAATGTGAGACGAGATGCTATTATTTTGTAGCATATGTACTGCTTCATTTTGTTTAGTTGTGTTAAAAATGCACAAAGCAGCAGATGGGGAATAAAGAGGGAGCTGAGATGTTTGCTTTTCCACTTGGAGGCACTGAATTTAATACTTGGGAAGTTGATGTTAAATTTATGCAAAGACATTGTTTAGGCTGCAGTTGGAATATTGTGTGTAGTTCTGGGCATACGTAACACAAAGAACATCAGTGCCATAGAAACAATGCAGGATAGGTTCACATGGTTGATACCAGGGAAAAAGGGTTGTAGTTATGAGTACAGGGACAAAAATCACCTTTGTTTTTAACTGAAATGGAGAAGGTTAACAGATAATACAGTAGGGCTGAATAAATAGTGAAAGATGATTTGCTGCTGGCAAATGTTTTGCAAAATCCACTTTCCCTTCCAGTATTTTCTTGTTGATTCTCTTTCTTGCAGATGTTGGTGTTGAAGTTCTTTTATATCCAACTCCAGTTTTGAAATAAAAGCAGAAGTCGCTGAGAACACTCAGCAGGTCAGGCAGCATTCATGGAGAGAGGAAAGTGAGTTAACATTTCAGGTCGATGATCTTTTGTCAGAATTGTCCAGTATTGAAATACCTGCCTTCTGTGTTCATACCTCAGTCTTGCATTTACACATCTCAGTCTTGTTAATACATTTCCACCTCTATCCCCCAGTGCCTTCGCCTTGCCTCCTCCCTTTCCTCCTTTAAGGCCGGTCTCAAGACCTTTCTCTTTGACCGAGCCTTCGGCTCCCCTCTCGACTCTCTACCCCCTCTTCGCTCCCTCCCTTCCCTCCCCTCACCCTGACCATTTCCCCCCTGCTTGGGTCCTGACCCAACTGTCCAGCGCCTTGGGACGTCCTCCCAACGTGAAAGGCGCTCTATAAATGGAATCTTGTTGTTGTTGTTGTGTTTGTACATCCCACAGGTGTATTTACACAACTCCACCGTGTCTTTTAAGCGCTCTGAGACACCGTCCGGTGTGGAGGGCGCTATATAAATCCAATTGTTGTTGTTGTCTTTACATATCTCCACCATGTGTTTACACACCTTAGTCTTGTATTTATACATTTCCACCATGGTTGTACATCCCAGTCTTGTGTTTACGCATCTGTATCTGAGATACTGCTGTTAAAGTGCAGCCACCGATGGTGGAATAGAGGGCACGGATGACAAGCAGGAGTCCAGAGGCAGTTGAGCATAGGCAATGGAATGTGGTTTGGGGAGTAAGCAGGTCGGAGGGATAGGGAGGTGCCAGAGCATGAAGGGATTTGAAGACGAGTATGAGGATCTTGAAAGCAATCCGTTTGGTGACGGAGCCAGATGGGGGTATGGAGTTTAGGGGTGAATATGTGGGCAGCAGAGTTTTGGATTAACTGGATTTTTTGGATAGTGGAGCTAGGGAGAATAGGTTGAGGAGGTCAGAGCAGCAGGTGAGGAGACATTGATGGAGCCAAGGAGTATGACTTCCATCTTGGTAATCCGCCAGTCAACTGGCAGCCGAGTTTCTGCTTACATAACATCAGCCTCTCTGGAGTCCCAGTTGGAGGAGAAGTAGATTTGTGTGTCATCCGCATACATATGGACGTTTACCCCGTGTCTACAGATGACATCGCTCAGAGGGAGCATGTAGATGAAGAGGATGGAACTCTGGGGTACACCACAGACAGTGGTGGGAGGAGAAACCATTTGCAGAGACAAAATTAAGGCAATTTGTTAAGTAGGATTCGAACCAGGCGAATGTTGTGCCACTGAGGTAGATGAAGGAGGAGATGTCTTGCCACCTTGTACATAAATATTTTCACCTTATTTGCACATCTCAGTTTTGCATTTACACATCTCTGCCACGTGTTTACATGGCTTCTTGTATTTGCACATCTCAGTCTTATGTTTGAACATGAGAATAGCAAGGCAAGGAGGTGATATTGAACTTTTGTTCACTGTCTCACATCTCTATTGAAGTAGAATCTCTAAATTATTTTAAAAGAGAATAGAGACTTAGAAAAAGAATATTAAAGGATGTGAAAAGTGAGCATGAGAATGGAATTAAGTTAGGTGGCTCACGTCAAGCAAAATGCCAGCACACATATAATAGGCCAAATGCTACATTTCTGTGTTATCACATTCTATGATCTCCATTTTGTGTATGGACTCTTCATTTTGTGTTTGCTTTCCTCTGCCTTGTGTTTATACATCTTCAGTTTGTGTTTACACATGTCCACCTTGGATTTGCAGAGCTCAACCTTGTGTTTTCACATTTCCACTTCATGATCTCAGATTTTGGAGTTCTGTAGCTCATTGGTTAGGCAAGCAAGAAACCTGGGTTCGATTCCCGGCAGGGAAAAATGTTGGGCAAGTTTCCTTACTCCATATGCCTCTGTTTACCTAGCACTGACTCATTTAACAAACTACTCGTTGCCTCAATAAAAAGACCATAGGGTTGATATCATGGAAGGATGAGATAACATGGGTTGAAAGGTCTCCATCCAGACCTCTCTTTGATCTTGTGAAGCTTTCAATTATTTTGGTCAGCTGGGTATCTGACACATGCAGAAACACAGCACCATACTTAAGTGTACCCAAACCAAACTGAGTGTTTCATATTCATGTATATTTTACATGCTTTTATCTTACTAGAACCGAAATTAATGACCGTTTGGAACAACTTGAAAGAATTCTGTGTTGTAGTGAAGTTTGTATGTGACAGACTTGTATAGGTTATATAACCATTCACAGGATGCAGTATTAATTGGTATTCTGCACAGACTCCAATCATTTTAAATGAAAGAAGACCATTCACACTATTGAACTTTCACCTGATGTGCATCTTACAATAAGAAAAAATGGCAGAGACAGCAACTTTAAAACACTGCACATTATTTTTTTATTCAATGAAATAAGAGTCTTTTGTGAAAAACAGATGGGAATTTTACTAAATTACAGTTCTGTTGACAATGAACAAGAGACAAAAAGACAGATTCAAAGGTTGTGTCCAACAGAACTTTTAGAAATATTACAAAGAAACTGAAGAGAAAAAACATTGATTATACAACTAATATATTAATAACTCCTAGCTAATTAATAAATAATTAACAGCTCCTGAAGAATTATTTTGCAACAGTCTAGTTGTCCAGAGTAATCAGTGTGAGGGCCATCATTTTCATTGCAGATAATCTTCCATAACATGATGGAGTGACAAGGTGAAATGCATCTCTGAAAGCATGTTTCAGCTCTTCCGTAGGCTTGTATCACTGTTTTCTAACAAGGAATAAGAGGACTTTGTGGATAACCTGCGGAATGAGTTTGGGCAGTTTATTCCAAGTGAGCATCATAATAATAATAATAATAATAATCCTTGCATTTGATATAGCGCTTTTCATGTCTTCTTGACGTCTCAAAGCGCTTCACAGAATAGACTGTAAAGCGAAACGCGGCAGTCAATTGCGCACAGCAGTGTCCCACAGATAGACATGGATTGAAAATGACCAATTTATTATTGTTTTGTTTTGGAGGGATTATTATTAGGCGTGTGGAGTAAGGAAACTTGCCCAAGGTTTCGCCCTGCCTGGAATTGAACCCATGTGTCTTGCTTGCAAGGCGAGTGCTCTAACCACTGAGCTACAGGACTCCACATCAGGGGTCAACAATACAAATTTACTTTGATATAGCTCTGTTCATGTGGGGAGTATGTCCCAAGGTGCTTAATAGTCATGGCTTGTCATTTACAGTATAATAACAGTACTAAACTGTTCATAGTTCTACAGCATTCTGGGGTCAAAAACACTATGATTCATAATGGGATTCTTTACGAACAACTCCAAGTCACAAATGGGGATTCGCCCTGGTAACCAGATGTATGCCATCCTGGAACATCATGCCGCAAGTTACCTTGGACCAGGGTTTAGGATAAAATACTATTGCCATTGTGTCATTTCTGCTTCTGTTATTCATATGCAGTTGTGTGGTAGTGCAGTGTTGCAACAATCCAGACAAATGCTTTGTCCAAGGTTACTCTATCACAAAATTAGAAAGCAAGTAAATATCATGATCAAAAAGCTTGCAATCCATCTTTCTTGGTCGTATGGAAATATTCATTTAGAATGTTCCAGCTCTAGTTTATCACCCTATAGTGATAGGGGAAAATTGAGGAGGAATATGATCAGATACTTTAAAATGATGAGAGCATACAGAATGTAAATGTTAGCAAGTTATAATTATAGGCCAATTCCTTGAGATGTCCTCCCAATGTGAAAGTCATTATATAAATATAAATTTGTATTGTATGGTAAGCATTGTGTAGCATTTCTTACGCCATCAGTTTGTTATGGTGTATGTTAGGTTGTTGTTTTTGCCCTAGTTTCTTATTTTTCCTGCCACTCATGTTGTTGATTCACTTTTTTAGTATTTCTAATATGTATCATATATTTATAAGTCAACTTTTACTAAAATAATGATCTCAGGTACAGTTGTACATAAAGGCTTCCCTTTCATCTAAAAAAAACACTACCATGAGTAAGCTGCCCTCATTCTCTGATGCCCACCACCTTTTGAGCCTGATACAAAAGATAACTTTAATGCTTCAGAGTTTTTTCACAATTTACAATTCAGCCAGCAACGTTCATTAAAAAAATTATAAAATAATTTCAAGTTGAATATGAAAAACTGCCTCACTTGTTTCAAAAAGGTTAATTGCTACATTAATACATGCACTGTACAAAAGAGACATGTTATTTTGAGTGAGCTACCTGAATATAAACTTGAATGGGTGTCATGTAGAAGAAAATGTGAAAGACAGTAATTCATCAATAGATACAGCTGTTCTTAGATCAAAGATGTTTTTTCAAATCTTGAATACACATTTACTTCTGTTTCTTGACAAAAGAACTATTGTGCATGGTTCAGCCTGAAAGACCTTTCATGTTTAAACAAGATTTTGTATAGACAAAATGCAAAATACTGCAAATGCTGGAAATCTGAAACAAAAACAGAAGTCGCTGGGAACACTCAGCAGGTCAGGCAACATCTATGGAGAAAGGAAATTGAGTCAATGTTTCGGGTCCACGACCCTTCATCAGAACTGGGGCATGTTGGGACGGAGAGGCTTTTAAGGGCTAACAGAGAGGGGGGAGCAGGGCAAGGAAGACAAAGGAGAAAATGGGGTAGAGGAAAGGGGATAATGGGTTAAAGAGATGTCAATGATGCAAAACAAAGGTGTGGGAAGGGAGCGGGAAATTCCAACAAAATAGACAGACCAGAGAGAGAAAAGGTGTATCTGTGAATAACCATTTGCATTTGAAATCAATATTGAGGCCAGAGGGCTGTAAGGTTGCTAGCAGATATTCTTGAGCTTGCGCTGCGGCTCATTGGAACAGGGTAGGAGGCCATGGATGGAGAGGTCAGAGTTCGAGTGGGAGTTGAAGTGGCAAGAAACCGAAAGCTCAGGGTTGTGCTTGCGGAAGGAATGGAGGTGTTCGGCAAATCGATCACCCAATCTGTGTTTCGTCTCCCCAATGAGGAGGAGATCACATCGTGAGCAGCGAATGCAGTAAACTACACTGGCGGTAGTACACGTAAATCACTGTCTCACTTGAAGTCTGTGTTTGGGACCCTGGACAGTGGTATGAGAGGAGGTGAAAAGGCAGGTATTGCATCTCCTGTACTGGCATGGGAAGGTGCCGGGGGAGGAGAGCAATTGTCGATGGTGATGAGGAATGAACCAGGGAGTCACGGAGGGAACAGTCCCTTCGGAATGCTGAGTGGGGAGGGGAGGGAAAGATATGCTCAGTCGTTGGATCACGCTGGAGGTGTCGGAAATGGCAGAGAATTATTTGTTGGATGTTGAGTCTGGTGGGGTGGAAGGTGAGGTCTAGGGGGATCCTATCATGGTTCTGGACGAGTGGGAAAGGGTGAGGGCAGAGTTGCGGAAAATAAGGTAGACACGGTCAAGGGCCCTGCCTACCACAGTGGATGGGAATCTTCAGTCAAGGAAAAAGGAAGACATTTCAGCTGCTCAGGTGTGAAAGGTGGCATCATCAGAGCAGATGTGGCAGAGGCAGAGGAACTGGGAAAAGGGAATGGAGTCTTTACAGGAGGTGGAGTGGGAGGAGATATAAAGCAGCTAACTGTGGGAGTTTGTGAGCTTGTAAAAAATATCTGCTGATAATCTATGACCCGAGATAGAAATGGTGAAGTTGAGGAAGAGAAGGGAAGAGTCGGAGATGGACCATATGAATGTTATGGAGAGGTGGAAGCGAAATTGGTGAATTGGTGAGAGCAGGAAGCAGCTCCAACACAGTCGTCAATGTATCTGAGGAATAGGTCAGGGAGCAGACCTGAGTAAGCCCAGAACAGAGTGTTCCAGGTGGCCAACAAACAGGCAGGCGTAGCTGGGACCCATGCAGGTTCCCATAGTGACACCTTTTACTTGGAGGAAGTGATTGGAGTTGAAGGTGAAGTTGTCCAATGACAGAACAAGTTCAGCCAGATGAAGGAGGGTGGTGGTGGATGGAGACGGTTGGCCCGGTGGAAGCAGGCCGTCCTTGTGGGGGATAGAGGTGTAGAGGGACTGAACGTCCATTGTAAATAGGGGACCCATCATCCCCTGTCCTCTACCCCATTTTCTCCTGTGTCTACCTTGCCCTGCCTCCACCATCTCTTTTAGCCCTTAAAAGCCTCTCCCTCCCAACATGCCCCAGTTCTGACAAAGGGTCGTGGACCGAAACGTTGACTCACTTTCCTTTCTCCATAGATGCTGCCTGACCTGCTGAGTGTTCCCAAGACTTTGTATAGATTTCATTTAAAAATAACCATTTATATTTGAATAAGGAGCATATTGACTCTTTATACAAATCTACAGCATTATATTCTAAAGAATTCATCACAACTACAAATTTTCCTTTTTTTTGTAGCAACTCATCTGAGCACTTCATGGTCATAGATGCAATTTGCCAGAACATTTGTTTTTACTGAATATTCCAGTCCTCAGATCTTCAAGTACAATCTGGCCTATAATCTGATATCAATCTAATTCATTTGGTGGGTAGGTCAGTAATCGGGTACCAGACATTCACGGCAAGATCCCCTCCTGTTCCCATAATAATAATAATCCCTCCAAAACCAAAAACAATAATAAATTGGTCATTTTCAATCTACGACTGTTTCTGCGACATTGCTGTGCGCAATTGGCTGCCGCGTTCGCCCACAAATATATAGTCAATTCACTTTACAGTGTGTTCTGTGAAGCGCTTTGGGACGTCCTCCCGACGTGAAAAGCGCAATATCAAATGCAAGGATTATTATTATTATTATAATACCTACGTCCCCTGGATTTTCTGATTCAGTGCAAGGCACTGTACTTCAATGTACAGATGGCAACAGCTGTATGGAGAAATTGTAGAATCAGTAAAAACAGCCAAGATCTTATAAAGAGAGTTTGACGTTATACGTACATGGGCTGATCTTTGAAGTTCAATACAGGTAAATGTAAAATCCTGCATGTAGGAATTAACAAGAGAAGTTAAACATATTCCATGGACAGCAAGCGGATACCACAGCAATAGAATGTTTTGAGTTTGGTTGTTAAGATACAAGTACAGTACATGGTTGGAGAGACAGAGTTGGCTATATGTTTGTGAGGGTTAGGGAGGAGAGAGAGAGCAGGCACTGTGGAGGAGAGAAAGAAAGATTGGCTAGCATTGTATTAAAATAATAAAATCTTCCTTATATTTCATATTATGCCTTTTACTTTGGAATGACATGTCAGATTCATTGTATAAATTGTGATTTTTTATTGTATTTTGTAGATGAATGCAGCAGCCAATTTCCGCACAGTAATATCACACAAGTCATGAAATGAATGAGAAATTTTAGTTGAAAGAGACCCAGGAGTGTTAGTTGAATAGTAGCTCACCATGTGCAAACACAGGCAAACAACATGGCAAACAGGATACTGGACTACATGACTATAACAGTTGAGTTGAGTTCAGAAGTCACGCTCAAGTTGTACAGGTTCTTGTTAAGATGCACCTGAAATACTGCAAACAATTCTCTTTGCCACAATCCAGCCTCCAGAAACAGTGTAAAGAGGCTCTCTGTCAAAGTTAGAGGAATGAACTCCAAGAAACCAACAACAACAACTTGGATTTATATAGCCAGTAGATCAGCTTCAAAAAGAGACAACACAGAGAACTCTTTATAAAGTTAGATAAGATACCAAGTGGAATAATGAAAGTGATCCCTGAACAATAGTTTCAGTTATACCAAAGTTGCAGGCAGAAAGGTACAGAACAGACATAACAACAAATTACATTTGTATAGCGCCTTTCAAGTAAGGAGGACTTCCCCAATAGGAAGTATTTCTATACTTTAATAGTTGGATGGGTTACCATGAAGGATGTTTGAGGCCAGGACATTTCCACTTACGAATAATGTTTGTAAAATCATTATTTTATGACGAATTTGGCTTGCCTGGATGAAATTTCATTTAGTTTATCTTTTTCAGAAGTTAATTAGGTGTCAGCTTGGCTCAGTTGGTAGCACTCTTGCCTCTGGGTCAGAAGGTTTTGGGTTCAAGCCCCACTTTGGGATTTTGAAGTCCTATAGTCTAGGTTAAGCTTTAATGAAATGCTGAATTATTAGAGGTGCTGTCCTTTGATTGAGATGTTAGACTAAACATTCACCCACAAAACACACAGTCACTGCACTTTACAGTATATCCTGTGAAGCACTTTGGGATGTGCTCCTGCCATGAAACGGGCTCCACCAAATGTAGGGATTATTTATTATTTATTATTATTAACCTAAAGTTCACATACAATGTAATACAATCCTACATTTATATAGCGCATTTCACATGGGGAGCAAGTCTGTCAGAGTAAAGTAATTTGTCACTGAAGACATGTCGTAAACTGTATTTAAAGTAATATTGATTAATCCTTTTCATGTAAAGTGTATTTTTTTTAGTTTCCTGTGTCTAACTTCTACTGAACCATTGCATTTGTAGTTGAATACTATTTTAAATATATTTTGAAATATATGTTATAAAAATATGATTATAATATAACAATTATAATATATAGTAAATATATTATAAGTAACACATTTGTAGGTGAATGTCTTCCTTGACAAAAATAATGGATAGGTGGTCTGCTAACTAGGTTTGAAATGACACACTGTTCTGATTTACAAGTGAAAGTGTTTCTCCCAGTGCCTTGGCAAACATTCTTCCTGATAAAACTGGTCACTTGTTTCATGGCTATTTGCAAATTGATTGCTGTATTCACTCACGAATAAACAGTCATTACATTTTACAGTAAAATCCTCTGAAGCGCTTTGAGACATTTCAGTGATGTGATAAGGTGTTATATAAGTCACTGAGGCGTCTCAAAGGGCTTCACGAGGATTTGGAGTCCTGTAGCTCAGTGGTTAGAGCACTCGCTTTGCAAGTGAGAGACCTGAGTTCAATCCCCTTGGGCAAGTTTCCTTACTCCACACAGAGCCTAATAATAATCCCTCCAAAACCAAAAACAATAATAAATTGGTCATTTTCAATATACGACTGTTTGTGGGACATTGCTGTGCGCAATTGGCTGCCGCGTTCGCCCACAAGTATGCAGTCAGTTTACTTTGCAGTGTGTTCTGTGAAGCGCTTTGGGACGTCCTCCCGACGTGAAAAGCGCTATATCAAATGCAAGGATTATTATTATTATTATATCAAATGCAAAGGTTATATTTTTAACATACACTTTCATTAATTTTTCATCAATTTTTTCTAAGTAACTGTTATAAACACATTTTGAACACGTCACTTGAAAGTGGTAATTTATTTACATTGTTTTAATGCATTCTAAAAGAGGCTTAACATGAGGCAAAATTTATTTTGATTGTCGTCCTAGATGCTGTAACTTATTGTTGCCTTTTATTGTATTTTGAAAATGTAAATTACCCACTTCAAATGTCTTTGCTTGCATAGTGCATTTTAGTTTTATTTTGTTCTATAAATGAAAATCTTCTTACAAAAGAAGCCTTTAACACAGTGTTTTTATTGATTCCATTGCCAAAGCATCTGTGTACTCAATCAACGCATGGATCATTTTACGTTAAAGAAAGTTGCGTTTCTACATACAGTAAATGAGGTAAATATATATTTCACTATGCCATTGTTCTATTACAGATTTCATATCAGAAAAGCTTAAAGAATTCTGTATATTAAATCTATGTGTTTCTATCATAAAGTATATTCTCTGTCATGATTCATTTATCATCCTTACTTTTAAATAAAGTTTCTGTTCACGTTGCCAACTGTACAAACAAAATTATTGTTCACATTACTTTTTTCATTAATAACTTGAAAATCATCAGGAAGCAGCTAGCCGGTGTGATTTCTCATTAATCTGATAATTCCCCACAGCATTATTCAAAAAGAGGAAAGAGTTTCTCCTGGTGCCCAGGCCAAAAATCCCACAAATAAAATTGGTCATTCACTTCGTATCTGTTTATGAGACATTGCTGTGTGCAAATTATTTGCTGTTTCCGCCTGCAAATACAATCACTACACTTCACAGTAAATCTTGTGAAGTGTAGTGATTGTATACTACATTTCAACAATATGACAAAGTACTATATCAAATGCAAAGATTTTTACAATTGCATTTTAGTTGGATTTTCCACCCAAATTGTGCAGTCACAAGTGCACACTCACTGTTTTTCACACAAATCCTATCAAGTACTTTGAGATGTTCAACGGACAAGAAATGCACAATATAAAATGCAATAATTATTATTAATATTTCTACAATCTCTGTTTTGTGCCCTTTTAGTCTTTTAACATGATACTTATAAGTTAAAGTAATGTGTCATCATTCAAATAAAAGCTTAAGAAGTTAGCTTTAATTTTAGCAATTTGGGGATCAATTTATCAGAATTCATTTTATTCTCATTCTTGCCTGACAGCTAATAATGGCAAACTTGTAATGGTGCCTTAGTGGAGCAGCAACAGATTAAAACAGTTTACAGGATTTGACATGCTTTTAAATTTGACAATGTCATTTAATTGCTTGTACATCATTTCAAACGTAAAGCCATACTCTCTTATTAATCTCTTTTAAAAAGTATAAGTGTGGAAAAACCTTGCCAGACTCCAGGGAAGGTCATTTGTTGGAACTGACAGCGCAGAGCAGATTAAAGTTATTTTGGAGACAGACTCTGGTATCTCAGTTCCACAGATTTACCTTGACAGATTTCCTGAATTAACTTCCAACTATTGATCATTCTGACCTCACCTAAGAAAATGATGATGAAAATTGATAGCTTTTAGAATAAAAGGTGAAGCTATTCCAAGGGAGTGAGTCAGCATTGTGACGTAGGGAAATGTTATGATACCAAATACCAGTATTAGACATTGGGGCAAATAACAGTACCAAAATATAAATCTAAGAGAGTGGTCCTACAACAACTTTGCAAAGTTTAGACAGGCAATTTTGGCAGTTCTTCAGTTCATGAGGAAACTGATACTACAGCAAGTCTGTAAAGCCACTCAATGAAAACTCTCTTTCATATCAGCACTTTCTTTGGAGTTGGGTCTTGGTACGAAAAAAACATATTTAAGAATGAATTTGTCCATTATTGTTAAGCATGCAAACACTGCTGGTGCTAACTTGGGCAACAAAAAAGGCCAAATGTAATTGTTTTAATTTTGTTCTCAATGATCCAGCAAACAGCTGAGTCATATGACTAGAACGATTCTAGTTTTGATCCCAATTTATTTACCTATAAGTTAAATGTTCTCAACCAGAGAGGTAGCAGGGATGCTATAATCGGCCTCAGTGCTTTAGGAAGGTGAAAATAATTAGCCGTGGCTTCCCCTTTTGAGCTATCGGTACCCCTGGTCCAACTACACAGATGAGGACAAGGATTAGGCTTCCAAATTTTTAGCATCCCGTGATTCATTGCCAAAGTTCATCCATGAATAATAGCTCCATGGATTCATTTTTGGAGAGTGACTAGCTCTTGCAGAACTGTACTCCTGAGGAGGAAAAAGAGATCTGGTGCCTTTGGGATAGAAGAAGGGGAGAACAAATAACAATACTTTAAATATGAGGTCCCATAGCCTGCTCTTATGGTCACACTAATCAAAAAGAGAAAGGAGTTACTCTTGCCAACAATCTTCAAGATTACTTGATTATTCATCTCATGGCTGTTTACGGGGTCTTGCTGGCACAAATGGCTTGCAGGAAGAAAGGCAAAAGTAAGTGCACTGGACCCATTTTAAAAATAGCTTGGTACTATAATGGAAAGATGGTGTAGTGAGTGGTTTGGAAAGGTGAGATCATGAGGTGAAGGGCCTTCTTCATCCAAGCCAAATAAGAAAAGCAGTCACTGTGCTTGATAGTAAATACTGAAGTGCTTTGTTATGAAAGGGCTCTATAACATTGCTTGTTTATATTTTATACTGGCCTGTCTTACAATGAAAGTCATCATATTTATCAACTGATGGGATTAAATTGTCAATCAATATGAGAATTCAAGGATACATCTATGATATGACACATGTATCTCAAAGACTCAGTAAATGAGAATTTAACAATTTATAGAAATTGTAGCAACTTGATCCTCAGTCGTATTATACTTAATTGTGAAGAAGAGTTATTTAATTTATTCTTATCCATTTGTTTTGCAGGAAAGGAGGAACAACATTACGTTCAGTAATCCAGTGTTTGTATCTATTTTATTAAAGATGAATAGCTGTAATATCTCAGTCTTTGTTTTAAGTGATAAATCAATAGAAAGAAAGAAATACAATAGTCAAATTCTCAAAAAATGACTTTGGAAACTCTTTACCTAAAGACTATTTGTTAGATTCAAAGAGATGCTCTCATCAGCATGACAACATGGTCACTTTACATGGACTCCAGATCTTGCAGTATTAGATTTCCTGTAATGCCCACCATGGATAAACAACTTGCCGAAATTTACTTAGGCAACAATGAGAGGAGAGAGTTGTGAAAAACAAATTAAGTAACTTTAATTGGAATGGATTTTTTAAAATTTAATTTGATTGTGAACTACTTCTCTATGTCAACGGTAACAGAGCTGACTTGCACTGGTTCCCAAGTCAGTATTGTTAAGCACCTTGGGATTTCCTTCCGATGTGAAAGGTGCCAAATAAATGCACATTTCTATTGAATTGTATGATATTGCAAAACACGTGCAGTCAATATTTATACCTTATAAATTACCAGAACAAGCAATTTCAGATGATGGACTACAAATTTCTGATCTGGGCCCTGGATAACCCTTTATCTCATAGCAATCAAAATTGTATGTAGCGGTCTGACCTGAGCCCTATACAGTTTGAGTATGTTTTCAGGGCACCTGGCAATATAGCCCAGCATCCTGTTTGATGCAACACTAAACATAAGATTGAAATGAAACTCTATTGGCTAAAGTATTTTTCCCATAATGTATTGGTACAAGCTTATAATAATAATAATTGCATTTTAAACAGCGCCTTTCACACCAGGAAGAGCCTTTCAAAACACTACACAGGATGTACTGTAAAGTGTAGTGACTGCATGTTTGTAGGTGCATGTGACAGCCCAATTGCACACAGTGTCCCGCAAACAGCTAATGAAGTAAATGACCAATTTTATTTGGGGGATTGTTGGCCAGGACTTTGGAAGAAATTCCCTTTTCTTTCCGAGCTAAGTGATGCCAAGAAATGGATGCTATTACAAAATGGCTGAATTAAACATGAGATGCCCCAAAATTTACTTCATATGAGATCCCCATGGTTAGTGAAGTCCTGTGAGCTATGTGCTTGTCTACCACTTCAGTCCGATAATAATATGATGTAGGGAATCTTGGGAGATGAGGAAAATTGTTTAAAATGGAGAGAGAAAAGAAAAAAGTGAATAATAATTAACTGAAAAGCATTGATAGTTGGACAAATTTAAAAATATACTTATTGAAAATACAGAGACAGTTTCCCGCACTGATAATGATGAATAATTACTTTAATTCTTTCACTCTTCGTGTTACTGAAATATAGTTCAAAATTAATTTTTACAAATATGTTTTAGAAAGTTTCTTTTTTAAAAAAACAAAGGGAATTAGCTGGTTGGATTTGGCATAAATCATAAGGGAAGAGTCTTGTTAAACATTTTGTTTAATATTGATAAAAAGTAATGTGTAATTATTTCTAAATTTGTGATTTTTAGAAAATGTTAAATATCCTATTTTCCAAGGCCGCTGTTAATTCATTCCAAAGATAACTGTTGCACTTCATATTTAGAGGATTGATTACAACACAGAAATCTGTAAATCATTCTGTTAGTTGGCTGAATTATGAGCGCAAACAGTTTTAATGCTATTTATCATTACAACTAGTTTAAACAAACTTTGCATTCCGTATCTTATTATTGCTTCAACACACATAAATCAGAAGAGAAAATATTTTTATCCTTAATCCAGCATTAATATCTTAAAATACATTGAGGTGTCCGCTTGGCTCAGTTTGTAGCAATCCCACTTCTGAGTTAAAATGTTGTGGGTTCAAGCCCCATGTTCGGGACCTGGAGCTCATGGTCTTGCCTGACACTCCAATGCAGCGCTGGCGGAGCAGATTTAGTGTAAAGTGTAGTGGCTGTGTATTTATAGGGATACCTGCAGACAATTTACACAAACCAATGTCCAACAAAACAGTAATGAAGTGAATTACCAATTTTATTTGGGTCATCGTTGGCCAGGTCACCCACTCCACTGTTCTCCCATTGCAGCATCTTTTAAGTGAGCTACTTTTTAAATGAGTTAATTGTCCTTGTCTCAACCACCCTTCCTGGCAATCTGTTCCATAGTGATTCTGACTGTTCGGTAATTACCCCCTGAGTAAAGAAAACAAATGTCCTGATTCTATGGAATAAGTATGAAATACTTGCTGATCAGTTGAAATACATTATATCTTGAAATCTCAACATTTTTGTTGTATAATGACGTTGAATTTCTTTTACTCAAAGAAATATGTTCAGGAGGGAGAAGGGCTGTGTATAATTTTCATCAGCATTGTGTGTATTAAATTTAATACGAAATGCCCTTTTAACATTTCCTATTTAATTACAAGCTGCAGGTTACATGTCTCCATTCTCAGTCAGGAATTATATATGGAGCTACCAAAAAACAATTAAAGATCTGGGTCGAAAGTAAATAAACATTTTGAAAAATATTTCTGAAACTGTTCAGATTCGGTCGTTCCTTATCAGAGGTTGGACAGTGAATTGAACAGTGGGCTATTTGTGCAGCTCTCGATCTGACCTCTTTTCTTTTCCCCTAACAGCTTGGCTCTGTGATTGACAGTAACCAAAGTGAAGAACAGAGGTCAATAATCAAAGCCTCATGCTACCTGATCTCAATCATGATTACTCAAAGAAAGTACCAACAAAATAAATTACATCTAAAATGTGTTTTTCCTTCTATCTATATAAGCTTCTTTAGTGATGACCATTTTCAGATAGAAACCGTTTTGTGGTACTGAAGTTTTGAAAAGTTTTTTGCACGTATTCCAGTGAAATTTACTCTATTTTCAAAAATTAAAGTAAATCATTTTTTACCCTGGTCAATATTCTTTTGCTTTTTTCAAAAACAAACATTTCCCCTACTCGTTCAATCAAACCAAAATTTTAATTTTCTAAGGGGACGTTTAATGATATAACAATAAACAAAGGGATCAAATTCCTAAACACAGTCTATTTCTTAATTAAGGAATATTGTTAAGATGAGTTTTGAAATACTACCTGATTTCTGAATAGTGGTAATGCTCAACTGGCTAAAGAGTTCTGGGCACTACCATTTTAGAGTGATGTCACTTAGGGTACGGATTTTCCCATTCAGCTCCCGTTAACCCTGCAAGCCAACGCCCCAATCCGTAGGGTGGTCCCAGCTGGTCAGCCGGATGTCTGCAGAAGCAACGGGAAGCCTGCCAGACAGTGCTCTCAATAGCAAGCTATGTGGTTTTATCTGGTTAAGCTCTAGCTATACTCCAACACATACTCGGAGATCCCCAAACTTTGGCGCTAAACAAATTGGTCATTCACTCCATGGCTGGGACATTGCTGTGTGAAATCTTGAAAAAACCTTCCCTGGACCCATCCCTTCTCTCCAGCTACCGCCCCATCTCTAACCTCCCATTCCTCTCGAAGGTCCTGGAACGAGTCATCGCGTCCCAGCTCCACTTCTTTCTTTCTCGCCATTCACTCTTTGAACCCCTCCAATCCGGCTTCTGCACTGTCCATAGCACGGAAACAGCCCTGGTCAAAGTCACTAATGATATTCTGAACATCTGTGATCAGGGCTCCCTCTGACTCCTTGTCCTCCTCAACCTCTCTGCCGGCTTCGACACTGTCGACCATTCTATCCTCATACACCGCCTCTCCTCTTTACTCAATCTTCACAGATCTGCCCTTGCCTGGTTCAATTCCTATCTCTCTCACCGTCTCCACTTTGTTGCCTCTAACGGTTTCTCCTCCAGCCCCCGCACTGTCACGTCTGGTGTCCCCCAGGGCTCTGTCCTTGGCCCTCTCCTCTTTAATATCTACATGCTCCCCCTTGGTGACATCATCCACAGACATGGGGTCAACTTCCATATATATGCAGGTAACACCCAACTCTATATTTCTGCCTCCACCCTCAACTCCAGGACCACTGCTGTCCTGACAGACTGCCTGTCAGACATCAAGTCCTGGATGAGGGCAAATTTCCTACAGTTGAATGTGAACAAGACTGAGGCCCTCCTGATTGGCTCACGCCAGCGCCTCAGCACCTCAGGCTCTGGCAGCATCAACCTCCATGGTTGCACACTACACTCACCAAGCCAGTCAGGAACCTAGGTGTCTTGTTCGACCCTCAACTGTCTTTTCTTCCCCACATTCAAGCCATGACCCGCTCTGCCTTCCCTCACCTCCGTAACATTGCCCGACTCCACCACTACCTCACCCCTCAGGCCACTGAAACTCTTGTTCGTGCCTTCATCACCTCCAGGCTCGACTATGCAAATGCCCTGCTTGTCGGCCTTCCCAATTTCTCCCTGCACAGGCTGCACATAATCCAGAACTCTGCAGCCCGTGTCCTCTCCCGCACCAAACTCTGTGACCCCATCTCCCCCATTCTCGCCCGACTCCATTGGCTCCCTATCCTTCAGAGGATCCAGTTCAAATCCTGGTCCTCACATATAAAGCCCTCCATGGCCTCGCCCCACCCTACCTCTGCAACCTCCTAAACCCCTGCCAACCCACCGCTCCCTCCACTCAGCCAGCTCTGGCCTGCTCCACGTCCCCCAACCCACCCGCCCCACCATTGGCGGGAGAGCCTTCAGCACTCTGCCCCCAACTTCTGGAATTCCATCCTCCAATCACTCCGTTTCGCCCCCTCCTTAGCCTCCCAGGTCCCACCTCAAGACCCTCCTCTTCAACCATGCCATTGGCCATCCCCCCTTCCCCTCCCCTCCTTGTCCCCCCCCCAACCCCAGCTCGGGTCTGAAATGCTGTACACTGTCCTGCACCTTGGGACATCCTCCCAATGTGAAAGGTGCTATACAAATGTAATCTTGTTGTTGTTATTTAAACTTGGATGTTATGTTCAACCACAAAACCACATTTGCTACAGATTACAATATATCCTGTGAAATATTTTGGGACATCCTCCTGTTGTGAAAGGCACTATAATAAAAGCAAGGATTATTATATTATTAATGCATTAGGTAAGCAGGGTACATCCCTCCAGGGAGA